GCCTAGGGCTGTGGAGCCATTATTCAATAAAATGTTATGAAGTGTTTATGAAAGATCAATTAAAAAGTAAAGCTGCTTAAAACCTTTCAAGAGTCTATTATTTATTAAGATTAAATACTTCCCACAACTTTCATTATTAACAGTGCTGCTGTGCCCTTCTATGCCTAGGGCTGTGGAGCCATTATTCAATAAAATGTTATGAAGTGTTTATGAAAGATCAATTAAAAAGTAAAGCTGCTTAAAACCTTTCAAGAGTCTATTATTTATTAAGATTAAATACTTCCCACAACTTTCATTATTAACAGTGCTGCTGTGCCCTTCTATGCCTAGGGCTGTGGAGCCATTATTCAATAAAATGTTATGAAGTGTTTATGAAAGATCAATTAAAAAGTAAAGCTGCTTAAAACCTTTCAAGAGTCTATTATTTATTAAGATTAAATACTTCCCACAACTTTCATTATTAACAGTGCTGCTGTGCCCTTCTATGCCTAGGGCTGTGGAGCCATTATTCAATAAAATGTTATGAAGTGTTTATGAAAGATCAATTAAAAAGTAAAGCTGCTTAAAACCTTTCAAGAGTCTATTATTTATTAAGATTAAATACTTCCCACAACTTTCATTATTAACAGTGCTGCTGTGCCCTTCTATGCCTAGGGCTGTGGAGCCATTATTCAATAAAATGTTATGAAGTGTTTATGAAAGATCAATTAAAAAGTAAAGCTGCTTAAAACCTTTCAAGAGTCTATTATTTATTAAGATTAAATACTTCCCACAACTTTCATTATTAACAGTGCTGCTGTGCCCTTCTATGCCTAGGGCTGTGGAGCCATTATTCAATAAAATGTTATGAAGTGTTTATGAAAGATCAATTAAAAAGTAAAGCTGCTTAAAACCTTTCAAGAGTCTATTATTTATTAAGATTAAATACTTCCCACAACTTTCATTATTAACAGTGCTGCTGTGCCCTTCTATGCCTAGGGCTGTGGAGCCATTATTCAATAAAATGTTATGAAGTGTTTATGAAAGATCAATTAAAAAGTAAAGCTGCTTAAAACCTTTCAAGAGTCTATTATTTATTAAGATTAAATACTTCCCACAACTTTCATTATTAACAGTGCTGCTGTGNGTGGTGGTTGAAATATATATACAGAATAGGTTCGGATGCCAACTGTTCTCCTTCAAACGGTTCCACAATCTCGAGTGACCAGGTATATCAATAGACCGGTAGTTAATTTCTCGATAACTACCTCCGACAATTTATTTGCACGCGTAAACCTTAACCTAACTTAAACTAAAAATAGAAAAAAGTAGAAGGGGAAATGAGAAGAATTAAAGGACAGAAGGGTACCTAATTTTCCAGTTGGTTCTCCACCGTTCCTCGTCTCGGCTTCTCTTTCTCTTCTGTTCTCCTCTTAGAATAACTCGGGTCCGTTTTGGGGTTTTTTTTCTATAATCGTCGACCGGATTCTTCTACCGATCCGCTTCTTACTGCTTCCTTCTGCAGCGCTCCTCGACTTTCCGTTCAAGAGCCCGCTGCCACTCGTCTGTCTCTCTCCGAGTCCGGACTAAGAATGCTTCTAGAAACTTTTCCTTTTCCCCTCCAGCCTCGTTTTCTCCTTTTGTTCTAACGCTACCCCCTAGGGGTGAGGCGTGTTCTCGGAAGTCCGAGACAAAGGAACACAGAAATCAGAAAGAAGGAAAATTCTAGAATTTAAATTAAACTAAAAGTATACAGACTAATAATAATAATAAAAACAGGCGTGTAGCCACACTGGTAGGCCTACATAATATTCTTCAATTATATGAATATACTTTTAAAGAAAATTATAATTAAATATAGCTTTGCAAAGAAACGTATATAAAAATATAAAATATTCTTTACTTTTAAATCTTAAAACAATGCACTTAGTCAAATAGCTCCCTACGAGTGGCTAATGGATGGAATCGAAGACGGTTGCAGAGCGTTCATACACCATAGCTGTAAAAGCTCACCATAGGTGTAAAAATCTAAATATGTTAAACTTAATAGTCATTTGTTTTCTAACTAATTCATTTTAGGACCAGGTGTTATCCACGGAAATTTCCAAAATTCACAACTTTTCGGTCGCTCTCGTAGAACTGGAAAAAATTTCTGTCTTTATTACATCTAATATAGTATTTCGAAGAAATCTGTCCCCACTGTACTCGGCTATAGATTGGTTCGGTTATTTATTAATACAGTAGAACCCCTCTAATCCGTCACCTTTGGGACTGGGGGTATGGTCGGAACGCAAAAAAGGTCGGATTATCAGAAAAAAGTAAAATAAACAATCTTCCCCTTTGTCTAGTCTTTGTAGCACTGCTAATTTTTCATTTAATGAAAGAGTAAAGTGTTTACGTTTCACTCCTGACATGTTGAAAACACACACAAAACTGTACATGTACACACAATTTAAAACATATACTGTAACGAACACAGACAAACGGTGGGTCATGGACGGTGAGTCACCAACGAGTCGGGACAAGTTTCTCGACTCCGACCACGATCGGATTAACCGGAGTGACGGACTAGCCGAGGGCGGACTAGAGGGGTTCTACTGTAATATTAATAATAATAAGCCTTTGTTTAAGTAATATCCCGGCTCTTTCGTCAGGGTTTTGTTTACGTCCCCAATTCCCTAATCGCTTAATTATTTAACTACTTCTTAAGTAGAAATAAGTCGAAACCGGTTACTTTGTACTCGAATATTTGTAGTCTCGGGAAAAAAGTGGAAAGACAAATTTTTATGACAACGGATACATAAACCGTAAATTTAAGGAAAATAAATTCTAGAGTCTTTTCTGTATCTGGTGCATCTCTCTCATTCATTAAATTTAGTTGTAAATGACGCTGTCGAAGTAGCGGTTAATTTTTTAACATTATACAAGAATTGTACACGTTTTTTTCTCTATCCCCTTAAAGATGGGATATACGAAATCATAATATTACTGGTTTAACATCGAAATCCGTGAGTAATATAAAATCGGAGAGCGGAATAAATATATCAAATATTTTAATGGAAGTTTTTTAACTCCCGTCAACTATACAGAACTATCATAAAAACATACTAGTAAATTCTTATCGGTTGGGTTGAGTTATAAATCTACTCGTTATTCAAGTAATCGGCCAAATATCTAGCGGGCGGGCGGGCGGCTAACAGCCCAGAACCGGTCCCGGATAGAATTGGAAGCGTTATATGTGTAGCATCCATCCGAGGTCCAAGGCTTCTACCGGCTAAACCGGGTGAGGTCGGTGCTCTGTAAACCGCGTGCGCAAATCTGGCTTTTTGGAATCTGACAATACAGAGGTTCCACTCCGCCACAAATACTCGAATATACAACAGCGATCTTATTATTTTTTTTCACGTGTAGTATAGAAATTTGTAATAAGATACATAATGCGGTTATAATAAAATATTGTGTGATTATTTTCTTATAATTAAAATTAATATGTATTTATTTTTTATAAAATACGAGGGAAGCGGCGCTTCCACCGCTTCTAATGACGGCACGCCACTGATGCGCTAATTTTTATGGCAATGAGTGTACTGTATTTGGAAAAGCGATAATTACTTTTTAAATTGCAGCGCACTAAAATTGGCGCCGGTCTCCCAATAATATTTGAAGTGGTGCTGTCCACAAAGTTAGAAGCTAAAAATTCTTTATGGAATTTGGGTAACGAACTCTGGAATTTTTCATGATCAGTCTGTTCCAGACAATTCGGACCCCATTGCTCGGCATCCGGCCACCATATTTTGAGCCTGGCAAAATCTTCGATGGGTATAGGGAAATGCCCTCTTAAAGCCCACAAGACGAAAGGATCTAAACCTTAAAAGATTGCCTTATTTGTCATCATTATTACCATTACGCAGTATAAAATGAATCATTTAAAAGTTAAAGAAAATATTTTTTATCAAGTTTGCATACCAAATCGTTATATTTGCTTGTAATTTTAGATATACCTGTGAGGGACGAAGAGACCCGCAATAAAGTGTTATTTTAAATTTTAATTAGTCTAGAATTCAATCGTCTAACTTTGATCATTTTATCAAAAGTTAGGTTAAAATCCATAAAAATTTTTTTCCCACGGACTTGCTTCCTTGTTGAGGATGATCCATCTAGTCATTAATGTGTCACCCGGAACTTTCGATAAATTTCCAGTATTGAACGCCAGGACCTTGACAACAAACTACTGTCTTCATGGAAAAAACCCAGAAGGAACCAAAATAACAAGGGAGAGCGATGAAAAATTGCCTACTCGAGAGTTATTATCGTGCAAAATACCGTGCCTCTGTCGACCTTATCTTAAGTATATCGTACACGCCTAAGTGCCTCAATACAAGTTGGATACCTCTCCCTGGAGCTGCTCCTGTTACCGGACACTCTAAATATCCAGAACAATTTAATCGAACTTCGAACATCCCATCATGTATCCAGTCATCGATCTACGACTTAGTTATAAAGTATTTATCCACACGCGAGTCGTTTGTAAACTCTCTCTCTCGCGACAGTTAAATTAATTAAACTTCAAAAAATAGGGATATGCATAAATCCAAGATCGTATATCGAGAGACTCGGTGGTGTCACATCCTGACGCGGTGTCAAAGAGACACCGACCCTACAGTCACATACCCATACAGTCGAACTTCCAATAACGACCACCTGTAAACGGCAGCCAGTTTCTCAGGAACGTTTTTTTTTTTGGAATACAAATTAACCTGCAAACAACGGCCACTTATTATTTTCGTATCACTTGACGTTGTTGACGGGTTTGACTGTATCAAGATATTCTTTATTCGATTAGTTAAATAATTCTTGTAAGTAGTGAAATAAATCAAAATACTTCATTTAATTTCGAAATAAATGTTTGATTTTATAACATCGAGAGATCGATTTAAATGCATAATTTACATTACAACCCTAAATGTGATCTTAGAAATGAAATAATTGGAATCAATCTGAAATTCATTCTTTTTATTACCAGAGTTACAGATAGTTGTTCAGAAGGGAAAAATGTGTGTTAGGAGTCCTATAGCAATATAAAAGTAAACGTTTCACTAGGCCATTGGAAAATTAGGACCCAGAGAAATAAGTTGTTCTGTGCCATATAAATCTTATTTAAATATTTGTTACAAACGTCATACATGCTCTAAAGTAGGCATACTTCGACTTCTCGAACCCTCAATCAAACAAATCAAAGTGACCTTAGTTATGTCACTATCGTGATACATGACACATTTTGTCAAACACTACAAAACATTTTCCATGTTCATTTTAGTTGAAGAAAACTGCACTCGTCTTCACTAGCGAATCTACGTATTTGGTACATTGTTATGGGATCCACTTTGCAACCAGCAATCTTCATTAGTTTCACGATAGCTCTGCCAATGCTCATCTTACTTCACAAGTTTTACATTTTCTTTTGGGCTGTATAGAAAGACCGAATTATCCGCGCCAACGTTTGATTCATCTTCCAGACTGTTCACAAATCCTTTCCTGCGACAGGTATAAACAAATAGAATAATTAAAAATACGAGTACAAAGACAATCAAACTGATACATAAGAGTACAGTTTTCCATCCTGCAGAATAAATCATTTCGTCCTTGCATTTATCCATTGATATAACCTGGACAAAGCTGGAAAAATTGGAACCAATCATGCAAGAAACATTAGCGAAGTCCATTATCTTGTGTTTGTTTCTAGTTAGCCAATCCTTGGTAAACAGGGAATCACAACCACAGCTCCAGTTGTTTCCCGCTAACAAAATGTTTAACTCATTCCAATTATCAATTCGATACATCAAGGACGAAGGCAACCGAGTTAATTGATTTCTGTTTAAGGAAAGATAAGTGAACGTAGGTGGTAGATTTTCAATGGAATTTAAAGAATTGTCGCTCAAATATAAACGGGTGACATTCGTCCATAACTGTGGATTCACATTTGAAATTCTATTATGCGTAAGATCTACAATAATGGTATTTTCTATAAGAATTTCAGGCATATCTCTCATGTCCTTTCGGGAACAATTTACTAAAATTCCTTCAAAGTCCTGGGAGCATTTGCAATCTACGGGGCAATCTTTTGTTACAGGACACATGCGGTATGTCGTCGTAATATCAAGTAACTTTTTCTTCTCGTAGCACTCTAAATTGATAAGATTCGGAAAAATTTGGGATGCCGTCACCAAATTTTCGTTTAGAAAGTCGACAAATTGGCGAAGGTTGCAATCGCATTTGATTTTGCTGTTCTTCAAATTATAAGTCGGGAAATTAGATCCGTATTCACGAGTATCGATGTATATGGTTCTTATATTACTCTCGGACAGGTTAACGATGGCTCGGTTAGGAGTATGCAGCGGTAATGTCACGTCACTAAAATTACTTCTAGAGAAATCAACGAAAGTCAAGCTATGCTCCGTCCAATTTATCATTGGCCAGGCCAGGAAATTTGAAAATTTGGCAGAAATCTTAGTCAAATGCTTACTTCTGCCGAAAGGATGTTTAACGGAAAGTCTAAGGAAAGGACTACGAGATATGTCGAGGACTCGTAAATTAATAAGTGGAAGAAAGACGTCTTCGGGTAAGTGAGTGAGGCGATTGAATCCCAATTGAAGAACTTCTAAAGACGATAAATTCTGAAAAATATTTGTGGGAAGAGTCTGCAAACGATTAACCGTTAATTGGATGTGTTTCAAATTAATGAGATCATCGAAGATGCCCGGAGGAAGGTGCTGTATCTTATTCACTCCTATGTAAAGTTTTTCTAAATTCTTGCTATTTTTAAAAAGATCTGGCGGTAAATTGACAATTTGATTGGTTGTAAGAAAGACTTTTGTTAAGTTTGTTGCGTCCGAAAATATTCCCCTTTCCAAGTGCGTTAAACCGCAGTTTATAGCAGCGAAATGTTTCAAATTTTGCAAACCGGCGAAGAATCCAGAAGGAAACTGTTTTATCTGATTATAGCTTACGGAAAAAACCTCTAATTTTGGGCAGGCAGCGAATAAATTATCAGGAAGTGCAGTCAATCTATTCTTACGAACAGAAAATAAGATCAAATTCGACAGATCCGAGAGCAAATCACTCGGTAAATTTGTCAGTTTATTTCTAGATAAATCCAAAACTTGCAATTGAGTGAGATTCTTGAACAGGAGCGGATCGATTTCTTTTATCTGATTGTTGCTCAGGTTCAGTCCATTCAAATTATAAAGTCCCTGAAACACTTGGCTCGGTAACGTTTCTAAAACTCCATTTCTCAGACTTAATGTTAAAAGACTGGATAAATTTTGAAAGGGTCTCGGCATAAAAGTCCCAAACTCGTAATTCTCGATGGTGAGATACGTAACGGAAAGAACATTTTCAAAGGTCACATTTAACACGCCCGAAGTTCTAAAACCAGTCAACGTTATTGTTTTTAGAGTGGGAATATCATTAAACGTTGCACTATCGAAATTATTCTTAACAGTCGACTCGAGGTTAACGTCGACCTCGACGACTTTCATCCCCGACACAAACTGTCCCACGTCAAACTCCGACAGGTGACAATCAAGTATATGAACCTCATCTGTACTGTTAACTTCCAAACACCGCATTAACTGCCGATCGATAGTTTCGTTATTACAAATCATAGAGAAATAATCGCGATTAATTTCGGCATACGATAGTTTCTCTGTCATATAGCATCTTGTTTCGGGGTTGATGGATATTGCATTTAAGCATCGATATCGTGGCATTTTTTTCCAGGAGTCCGCGCAACCACACGCTACATTCAGTAGCTGTATTAAGATGAATAACCTCATTAACTCGAATTGTTAGGTACTGTACTGTACCTTCTTCTAACACAACGATACACTTTAGGCCTAATTAGCTGAATGTTACCTTTTACAAGTCACCAAAATCCGGATTGACGTAGACACGCAACTCCTTTAAAACAATTCACAAACTAAACTCGGTTGATTTTACCACAGAGTTGCACCACTAGAAGTAAATACAGGTTTTATCACGTGTGTAGGGCAGTGACGTTTACGAAGCGATTGTGTGTTGCATCACTAGAAGTAAATACAGGTTTGATCACGTGGGTAGGAAGTGACGTTAACGAATCGTATATTTACTGCTGCTAATTGTAAATAATATTATATTATAAAGAATTATGAGCGTTTTTAAAAGTATTTATGCGTTTTATTTCTGAAAAATTACGTTAATTGAGGGTGTTTTAGTATAGTTTTATTATTGTAATTGAATATACAGGAAGCCTCGACCTTCTAGGAAGGGAAATTTTCAGCTGATGTGAGTTCATCACTGATTTCCAGTTATTTTATTACTTAATCTGTCACGTTTTTGCTTTCGATTCAATAAAATAAAACTAAAAATTATTTATTGTTTAATATTTAATGGATAACACGTTCTGTTAGTAACTTATTGTTCTTCTCATTATCCTTAATGCCTACGTCAGCCACTCGGTTACTTGTATGATTTTAAATTACTATATTCTGCTTCAAGTTCGCGCTGATTTTTGATTTTATTCGGAATCACTACTGTCTTTACGATGCTGTTCTTTTGTAGGGTTGGTAATAAGAAATATTTTTAAAATGACAAAACTTCCAATTATTTACTTTTTTAAACATTTTCTTTTTTACAACACAAAGCTGAATTGTTCCTGCGTTTAACAAAACAAACCGCGTCATTCTAGCTTCGATACAACTCGAGAATTTTACATTACAAATTGCTATTTACGATAGTGAAGTGTCAAGTGAAGGGAGCTAACATGGCGTCGTGACCATGATGCGGCGCACGCTTTTAAACTGTAATTTATATTAAATGTACAAAATTCGATAAGTGTTTGCAATACGTTTAGTTTTTCGTCATATATTTATAATATTTGAATATTTTATTATTGATTAAATTAATGATTATTACGTAAGAAAAACGAACTGCGCTGCCTGACAATACGCCACACTCGACGGTGCAACGACTCGAATATAAAAACAATTACAATGGCTACTCCGTACATCGCGCTTTTTCGTGGTTCCCCAAATTTTAAAAGCACTAAAGTCAATAAATTTTAAAATACCAATTGCCGTTGAATTTGTTCTTGCAACGAAATATATAAATTACAAATTTCTGTGAATTCGAAATTTCACACCTTTGTGTAATTTAATGGCATTGCGTCAATTTATATAAAGTTGTGAAATTTCGAAAAATAAATTTCTTTATTTCTGAATGGGAACTTGTACAATTTTTTATATAGTAGTTAATTTATTTTCCTTTTAAAAGAATTTTTACTGTTTAATCGTTCCTAAGCTCGAGTCCTTTCGTGACGTTTCGTACACGTGTTAAATGTTGAGTGATAGCGGGCCCGTAGAAGTACAGTGGGTGATCGGTTAACGAACATAATTCGTTCCAAGACTTTGTCCGAATTGTTCGTTAACCGATTATCGATTTACCATAGGTTTTAATGGGAATTTAATTAATTCGTTCTGGGGACCNTTTAATCCAGAAATTATTTAATTATTCAATTTTTTTGCAAGTGATGCGAAGTGCCTATAGAATTCACATATATTTTTATAGCTTATCATAATTCTGCAAGAGTAGGTTTTTTCTTTTACGGTATGTTCTACCATCAACAGCGTAATACGTTTGTAAATTTCGGATATACGTAAGCCACTACTTCTCCTGACAAAAGTATGAGGTAGTCCTATCGTACGGTAGGAGACACGGCGCTAATTAAAAATAATTATTTAGTGTTATTAAACATTCTATAAATACTTTAGAATAGTTTAATTTGTTTATTTACCTTTGCTGGTAACATTTGTTGTTGTTAATTTAAACACTTCCGCCATTTTTCGACAATATCCCATGAGTCAGTGCGCGACGTGAACGTGTGACACAACGTGTTTTACTCGAAGTTCAAGCGTCAAACGTGTACTTATGCTTGCCGTACAAGTTTAACGTTTGAACTTCGGCCGCAACCTCTCTATTACTATAAAAGTTAGCGCACCAAGAAGTTGTTGCATCGCTGCGAAACTTGGCATGCAGATAAGCCTCAAGAAGATCTGGAAATCATTAGAGATATAGCGTGATAGATCAATGTTTAATGTCCGAACTCCCACCATCAGTTATTGAAGATTCTAAAAAGCACCGTTCATATTTCATTTCGTTAATACGATCACAGACCTTTTTTCAAAAACGGAAAATCCTTTCTTCAATCATCAGTAAACACACGTTTTTTTTCGGAATTTTGGAGATTAAATTAATGCACAATACAAAACAATCGCAAATGCCAATTAGCAATTTGAACTCGACTATGGGCAACAATGACGTGGCCAGTATAGGTGCTGTCAACTCTGAAATAAAATATCTAAAATCATTAAGCCATATGCTATAAATTATGGAGGAAAACATCTAGACAACGTACTTTAAAAGAGTGAGTGTAACAGAAGAGATTATTTAGTTGCCAAATCGCCATTTTACCCAAGTCTACACTATTTTTACTTCTTGTATATTGACGCTTTTAAAATTTAACCCAATAACCGGGACAAAGTGACAAACTGGCCGAGACACTGGGACCACATCATCAAACAGAGACAATCCCGGTCAAAACTGGATGTCTGGTAACCTACCTATAAACAACGCGCACAAAGGCATACTATCTGTAATTTACTTGTTGCAGAGGGATGCTGTATTACTAGAGTTGCCTTTACGTCGCAATCTAAGACTATATAAACAACTGAGTTTGAGATAAAGGATCATCGGATTGAGAGAAGCCTGAAAGACATCTAAGCCGTTCTGACAACACTATGACGAGGTGTTGGACCAGCGGACGACAGAGAGCTCGTACATACGTCACTCAAGCTCAGTACACCCTTCGACAGAACGCTAGCCGAGAGGACAATCTGGTCCTCCGTCAAGCATGCACAGAGTCGACCGTAAAGTTGTCTGCCATCCAGAAACAGGTGAGAACATCATTACAGGCTGCTGTGTCTGTCCGTATCATTTCGAGGCGCCTAGGCGAGTAACATTGTGTATCGCGGCGACCATTACGTGTGTTTCCATCGATAGCCACACCGTCGCCTCCGTTTGAAGTGGTGGTTGAAATATATATGTTACAGTCAAAACCCGTTTTTAGTTAGAACGCGTTTTAACTAGTTGAAACTAGTTTTTACTGAATGTCTTTGTTAAAACCCGTTTTGTCTAGTTAAAACTAGTTTTAACTCAAATTCATTTTCGACTAGCAGTAAATTCTAGTTTTAAGTAGACAGAACGTGTTTTAACAAAGACATCCAGTATAAACTAGTTTTAACTAGTTAAAACGCATCCTAACTAAAAACTGGTTTGACTGCAACGCATAGAGTGATTCGGGGTAAGATGGTAAGCGGGGGAAGATGCCGAATTTTTGATATTTTCAAACGGTGACATCACATATTGTCATGAATTTGTATGATGAATCGTTGGGCCAATATTGAGTGCGGAAAGCTGTAGTTGGCTACCGTTACTTCATTTTCTACATCCGAGAA